TGACTGCAAACCATGCTGCAGTTTCTTATTGTGGTGTAATTCTTAGACGAAAATGATAATTAACGCTAGTAAGCCTTGTCCTATTCTGTACTCCGATATATATAAATAATGTAAATATGGTACCTGGTAGGATGTGTTCACATTATACCTTAGGGGAACTATGTCAAGCCGATTATTATTTTTTTTTAAAGCAATTGTATAGTAAAGGTCACTGGGATGGTAAAATAGTCCTGTAGTGTGTTCACAATTACCAAGTACTTGTTCACCTTGAACTGATTTGAAAGCCTATTGCAGAAATAAGCATTTATGTAAACACATTGAGTGAGCCTATCTATTTAACCCACAAGTAATTCTTCATATAGAATGAAGCACTCTTGCTATCTATTTTTTATGTAATAAATACTTAGATGAAAGTTACCAAATTCTGAAGTATTCTTCTCCTATGCTGGTTGGAATAATTGTCCCAGTTAAAAATAGTAAGAATTTTATTTTTAGTTGACTCATTCAATACAGTATTGTATATTGAAAGTATTTTAACACTTACACAGTTCAATTATTTAAAAGTTCAAAATCTTGGTGCATATGCCAAACAAAACAAAAACAAAAAAAAACTTCAGTTGACAAGTTCAGCACGGGGTACTGGCAGACGGCAACTGGTGCCGTTTAAGGGTTAATACCTTAAAATTGTTAGCAACATTGTGTAACGCACTGGCCAGACTACACCTGAAGTATGCTGTGTAGCCTAATTCTGTTCTATTTACAAGCTAGAGTACAGAGTGTATCTTAATTAAGTAGCCTGCGATGTACTTTTGTTTGAGCAGAGGTATTCGTGCCAACCCCTGTGGAGGTCTGCTGCCCTTCAACTGCTTTCCATTAAATACTGCATATATTGACATAACACAAGTTAATATTATCAAGTGGCAATCCGACAAGTTCCAGCAGGAAGTGCCACATTGGTGTGGCACTTCCACAGACCCGAGGCACAGGTCGATCCTGGCCTCTGGGAGTAGAAGAACTCCCAGAACCCCATCAAGCAGTTATCATTGTAATGGATATAATTCTAATAATAATTATATCCATTACAATGTGACACTTGTCCAATTGCCTTTTTATAATATTTGGGTGCGTGTGGGCCTGTGGGTCCCTCCAGATAATAGCCTCTCAGCTCAAATTACTGTAAGACAAACCTGGCCTCCAGCCACAGTTTGGGAATAGAAGAATTAAAGTATGAATACGTTAAATCCATTCCGTTGTATAAGAAACCTTGTATTGCATCTGATTTTTGCTCGTTAATGCTGTTTTTAAAATTGCAATATATAATACATTCAAGTTGGTTAACTATAAACAATAAAATAGATATTTTTGAATATTTTAATATACTGTAAGTATACTAAGAGAAAAGTCTTCAATAAAAATATGAACAGAATAATATATATAACTAAGTTTTGTTATATATATGTTACATATGTGTAGCATCACACAGCAATGTGCTGCTACCCTATTCTATATGAAAGATTACAGTGTAGATAAAAAAAAAACTAGCTATAAGTTCATCTAAGATTCCCATCTTGCAGAATGGTTAGTCATACTGTACATGGAATCGGGGGGAAGGGGGAATACCTTAAATTAAAGACCTGGTTTAATTACATTCAAGTGACCAGATGAGGTGTCCTCCTTCGTAGAGTACTATCGTAAGAATTGACACGAAGTACAGTTTGCGTGGCCTTAAATTTGCTTGGGGATCTATATTCCTGCAATAACAGTGTAAACAACAACATTGTGTTTAACATTTTAAACAAGGGAAATGTAATTTGTTTGTTTCACTGCTCAGTAAAACCAGCGTTAAATGTAATGAAAGGCCTCTTTCTGTTGGATTCTTAATTCTAGCTACTTAAATAGACAAATAATTCCATTCAATTCAATCCACACCAGGCCCTTGTGATTCATAAGCTTACTGAGGTCAAGACGCTAATATCTGAAACCCTCTCTCTCTATAGAGGCGCAAAGTGCAGGGGATACGATATATCTCTAACCAAGTAAAGGCTACCAGAAAGCAACCCGTCCTCGACTCAAGTCCATTACATTCAGCGGTCAACCCCACAGACGCATTCATAAATTTTAACATGCTGTTCATTCAAAACGGGAATTTTCGCAAGAATAAATTAATATTATAATATATTAGCATATTGTGTATATATAGGCATAGGATAGATTAGGTTAGGTGTTTAGGTTCTGTTGGCGATTATTTGTATTTGTAGTACGTGGGTGAAGCATTTATAGCGTTGTGATTCGAACAAAATTCGTCAGTGAAGCACTTGTTCCGGAAATGTTCGAACGTCAACAGTTGTGAGTCGTGTGTAAACCGCTTTTCATTCATAAACAGAGGGTTTGGCGGGTGCATGGAATCACTTTTGGGTCTGTTTGGAGGACGGGCTGGAAAATTCCTATTTTGAATGAACAGCAACTGAAATGAACTTGATCTGAGGATGGGTTGCAAAACAATGAAACAAACTCAAAGAAAACAGGAAGTTGGGAAAAGGTTACAACTGCCCTCTAGACTCTACCACATAATATGGTTGACCCAGAGCACCACACATTGACTGAAGACTTTTGGAACTCCTGTGTCAACCATGACGACGAGAGGATGACTGGACACCTGGTAATCCTGAAGACGCTGAAATACGTGATGCGAGTTTATCCACTGGGTCTAGGAACTGCCGTCAGGTATTCTACTTCAACGGGCCGGATTGATAGAACACCTGGCGCACCAATCGCCTGGAGACAAGGCAAGTTGATAGGTTTTCCATTTTCCCGTTGGCACTTCGAGCTGGGAAGACAGTGTCCTGGTGGTGCGTACATTATTTCGTGGTTAGGTCGTATTGATGTCTTTAGTTACTCTAACTGATGTTGGATTTTGATGGCATACTGTCTAGTATTGCTGATTTAGTCTTCCGAATTACCTGGTCATCAGCAGTTATTGATCCTTCAATTGGTTTCCTAGTTGCAATTTCCGCAGTTGCATATCTTGCGGGTTTGATCCCTATTCCTGAACCAAGATGGAACATTACCAAAGCAAAATAGACCTTATTTCAAAAACATTTACTAGCATGGGAGGAGACATAAGGGTCTCACGATGACTAAAAATTAAAACAACATCATCGCCATTATACAGGTTAACAATAGTCATGCCTCTCAAGAAACACTCGCCACACAGCACGACTACAGCTTTTACGATGAAGTGAAAATTTTAATTAGAGTACAGTATATAACAAGGGCGTGTGAACAAGTGATACAGGTTCTAGACTATGTTAGGAGACAATTAGAAACATATCAGCAGAAATAGCTGGAATAATGCCAGGTCTTTAACCAATAGATGTCCTCGACAGAACTCTGGGGCAAGCTTAGATGTGCAGCAGGTACCGAAACCAACCCAGCAGCCCACAATGGGTGCCACACAACACCCACCACCACACAGTGGGTGCCACACAACACCCACCACCACACAGTGGGTGTCACACAACACCCACCACCACACAGTGGGTACCACACAACACCCACCACCACACAGTGGGTGCCACACAACACCCACCACCACACAGTGGGTGTCACACAACACCCACCACCACACAATGGGTGCCACACAACACCCACCACCACACAGTGGGTGCCACACAACACCCACCACCACACAGTGGGTGCCACACAACACCCACCACCACACAGTGGGTGTCATACAACACCCACCACCACACAGTGGGTGCCACACAACACCCACCACCACACAGTGGGTGTCACACAACACCCACCACCACACAGTGGGTGTCACACAACACCCACCACCACACAGTGGGTGTCACACAACACCCACCACCACACAGTGGGTGTCACACAACACCCACCACCACACAGTGGGTGTCACACAACACCCACCACCACACAGTGGGTGTCACACAACACCCACCACCACACAGTGGGTGTCACACAACACCCACCACAACTCACAGTGGGCGTCATACAACACCCACCACCACACAGTGGGTGCCACACAACACCCACCATCACACAGTGGGTGTCACACAACACCCACCACCACACAGTGGGTGTCACACAACACCCACCACCACACAGTGGGTGTCACACAACACCCACCACCACACAGTGGGTGTCACACAACACCCACCACCACACAGTGGGTGTCACACAACACCCACCACCACACAGTGGGTGTCACACAACACCCACCACCACACAGTGGGTGTCACACAACACCCACCACCACACAGTGGGTGTCACACAACACCCACCACTACCCAACTTCCATTTGCCACTTTACGCTTCAAGCACTTATTTTATCTATATCAATTTGCAAGGCATGACAATCGCCTGCTTCTCCTATCTTCTCCAGCACTGCACAAAAATTATTGGAAGAATTCTTATCACGAGCATCCAATGAGCTGCGATAATCAGAACTACAAGTAGAACAGTTACCAACACGTTTACAGGCAATCAGACTACCTGAAATCATATCAGATAGTGATAATCCATTCGCAATGGATCAGATCGATATAACGAGAAGGAAAAGCATCACTTGACATATAACTAGCTTTTGACATTTAACTCCCTTCATGCAGCCTAGCGTAGCGGCATACATGCAGAGGTACTTACATGTGTTCATAAAAAATATTTTTAATATGACGAGCCTAATGACCTAGTAGCCAGAATACACTTCTAGGCCTACTATGCAAGGCCCGATTTGCCTAATAGACTGATTTTCGTTATTTAAAAAATATAATTAGTTTATTTGAATTAATATTACTATGTTGGTTTTAACTCAAATTCAAAAAATTATCATATATAATACAATAGAAAGCTTTATCATCTCATAAGAAAAACAAATAGGAAAATATTTAGGCAAACCGAACCTTGCATAGTAGGCCAAGTAGTGCGTTCTGGCTATTAGATAACAAAATTCCACAGAAACTACAGACTCTGAGCAGACGAGGTGTCGTGGACGTGGGAAGTGTGAGGGAGATGGCGGATGTTGTGGAGTCTGGTGCCAACAGTGTCAGAGGACACCCCATACCCCGTGCCAGGTGAGCGCCAGTCTGCCCATACCTTCCACCTAGAGCAGGTACGTCTCCACCTCCCCGGGACGACAGCCTCGTGGTGGTGATAGTGCTAAAAGAGGGGCCCGTGTCGATGATGTTGAGGATTCTTAGGTTGAGGGCATCAGGGACCGGTGATGCTTGCCCATCAGGGTCCATACTTAAGGCGTCGAGGGAGCAGTATTTGTGACACCATTTAACCATGTTGAAGGTACAGTGTTTATGATAATGATTCACTGAGGACCCATTGTATATACCAGTGGTGATGAAAGGCTCAGTGATGTTCACAATGGCGAAGATAAGGCCCAGTTCTTCTGACAGTGAGTGTTAAATTATAGAATATTCATGACGTTTATGTTGGATGTCAATGTCTCCTCACAGTGATGGCGCTGAAGACCAAATGTCGAGAATAATTGACATGATATATGATAATTAGTGTTCTTACCTGACATAGCTTGCTGGATCGATCTTTAGCTCCTGGGCCCCACCTTTCTACTTGTCGGTATTCTAATAAAATAACTCCCATTCCCTCTTGTTTCTTTAATTACCATCAGTTGCCCTGAAAAGTGCTTCCTAAGTATTTTGTCTCGATTCTCTCTCTCTCTCTCTCTCTCTCTCTCTCTCTCTCTCTCTCTCTCTCTCTCTCTCTCTCTCTCTCTCTCTCTCTCTCTCTCTCTCTCTCTCTCTCTCTCCCTCACTGTTCGTGTCGTGGCGCTAGGCTCAGCTGGGCCGTCAGGTATGCCAAGAATAGCTCCCAGATGCTGGCACTGTTCTGACACTCCAGCACGAGGCTGCATCATCGTCGCTAGGCTCCGTCTCATCCTAACATGCTTATTGTAGCTGCTGCAGCTATGAGTGTAGATACACCGTAATAGGGAACAGTAACACTCTAGTATAGCTTGATAAGGTCATGAAACCGACGTCACAGAAGCCAAAGTCACTGAAGTCGAGATTACAGATGCTGATGTCACTGATGTCAAGGGCGGGACTGTATTGAAGTGATATGCTTCGGTGGTGAGCTGGGTGGTCATACACACAATATGCCACATTTATTACAGGGACGTTAAAAAGAACTTTTTCAGTGTCAGAGTAGTTAACAGCTGGAATGCATTAGGAAGTGATGTGGTGGAGGCTGACTCCATACACAGTTTCAAATGTAGATATGATAGAGCCCAGTAGGCTCAGGAATCTATGCACCAGTTGATTGACAGTTGAGAGGTGGGACCAAAGAGCCAGAGCTCAACCCTGGCAAGCATAACTAGGTGAGTACAGCTAGATGAGTACATATGACTCGAAAACAGCCTTAAAATAAAACCAGCTTCGGCTTGTAATTTTTGTAATTTATGCAATGTTTAAAGGAACTGTTTGGGCAGCTTTTCTTATTTATTAATTTATTTAACAGTGATGAGTGATTGTCGAGTAGTAGCAGAGTTGTAGGAGAGTGTATTGCCAGAAGCATCAACAAGACGTAGCCGACATAACAGTCTCTTCTCCAAGCTTTGCTCTTCATTATAATTATTACTGATAAGGTATTATTACCAATGTTTGTATTAATGAATAACACACTTGCACCTTTGTAAACTATGTCAATTATAAAAAGTAAAATAGTTTATGAAAGTTTTTTAAATTAATTTGAAGACTTCGCCTGGCAGCGACACAGATCAAGGCCAAGGGAGCTTCTTTTGTGTGGTAATACTTTCCAGATATTTGTTTGTTATGGTCTCGCTTCATGCAGGTCGGCGTTCAATCCCCGACCGTCCAAGTGGTTGGGCACCATTCTTCCCCCCCCCCCCTTCCCCCCCCGTCCCATCCCAAATCCTTATCCTGACCCATCTTCCAAGTGCTATATAGTCGTAATGGCTTGGCGTTTTCTCCTGATAATTCCAGTCCCTTCCATTGTCATCTTATTGGGTTATTAAAAACAAATTAGGCCATAGTCTTTCATTGTCTTACTTGAAACTTTTTTTTGTTTTTAATGACGCCTTTTATTAGTTTCGTTACATTTATTTCTCTCACTCTTGCAGCTAAATGAAACACATTCGAGTGGTTTAGGGGACGCGAGCAGAGGAAGAGGCTACTGGGAAGATAACACCAACGCTGACACGCGCACACACACACACACACACACACACACACACACACACACACACACACACACACACACACACACACACACACACACACACACACACACACACACCAATAACTGTCACACAAAATATAAAACACGTACACAAAAACTCATTTAACATTAAAGCAGCGCAAAACACATCCAGTACGGCTCCGGGCTACCATGGAGGACCCCCACCACATAGATGTTATGTACAACTGGTTCAAGTACAGTGTGGTGAGTAGCCACTGCATCTTACTGTACTCTGGTTACTCTTACTGGTACTCTGGTACTGTACTCTGGTACTCTAAGTATTTACCCTTTGACAATCACTTTCCTTACTTTTATTTATGTGTGATTAAAAAATAAATAATTTTTTTGACGAATCTAAAAATCGTTTCTCAAGAACAATATTATTTCACTCGGTCTATAGGTAAACAGAGTGAGTTGAATTAATTTATATTTACAAAAATATTTACATTTGGGTTTTTAGGGACTGTGGCGAGGATGGTTTTAAGCCTGTCCATCCTCCAGCTCGTCATCAACAAAGGGCAAAAGTGATAACATACAGAAAACTGGCCTCAGACTATGTTCATTCCATCCAGAGGTCGACCCCAAAAACGTAGTCATCAATTTTAACACATGTTGTTCATTCAAAACAGGAATTTTCTCAAAGCCCTGTAAGCCACGCCCACATGTAACCCACGCCCACATGTAACCCACGCCCACATGTAACCCACGCCCACATGTAACCCACGCCCACATGTAACCCACGCCCACATGTAACCCACGCCCACATGTAACCCACGCCCACATGTAACCCACGCCCACATGTAACCCACGCCCACATGTAACCCACGCCCACATGTAACCCACGCCCACATGTAACCCACGCCCACATGTAACCCACGCCCACATGTAACCCACGCCCACATGTAACCCACGCCCACATGTAACCCACGCCCACGTGTAACCCACTATATCTCCCACAGTCCAAAGCCCCGCCTCACGTCATAGATAAGAAGGAGAAGAGGAAGTGGAAGATTGAATATGTGGAGCCATATGGCAGGTGGGTGATGCCTGTGTACTCATTCTCAGGGACTCACCTTCATGCACTCATCCTGAGGGACTCACCTTCATGCACTCATCCTGAGGGACTCACCTTCATGCACTCATCCTGAGGGGACTCACCTTCATGCACTCATCCTGAGGGGACTCACCTTCATGCACTCATCCTGAGGGACTCACCTTCATACACTTATCTTGAGTGACTCACCTTTATGCACTCATCCTGAGGGACTCACCTTCATGCACTCATCTTCAGGGACTCACCTTCATGCACTCATCCTGAGGGGACTCACCTTCATACACTTATCTTCAGTGACTCACCTTTATGCACTCATCCTGAGGGACTCACCTTCATGCACTCATCCTGAGGGACTCACCTTCATACACTTATCCTGAGGGACTCACCTTCATTCACTCATTCTGAGGGACTCACCTTCATGCACTCATCTTGAGGGACTCACCTTCATTCACTCATTCTGAGGGACTCACCTTCATGCACTCATCTTGAGGGACTCACCTTCATTCACTCATTCTGAGGGACTCACCTTCATGCACTCATCCTGAGGGACTCACCTTCATGCACTCATCCTGAGGGACTCGCCTTCATGCACTCATCCTGAGGGACTCACCTTCATTCACTCATTCTGAGGGACTCACCTTCATGCACTCATCCTGAGGGACTCACCTTCATTCACTCATTCTGAGGGACTCACCTTCATGCACTCATCCTGAGGGACTCACCTTCATGCACTCATCCTGAGGGACTCACCTTCATGCACTCATCTTGAGGGACTCACCTTCATGCACTCATCCTGAGGGACTCACCTTCATGCACTCATCTTGAGGGACTCGCCTTCATGCACTCATCCTGAAGGACTCACCTTCATGGACTCATCCTGAGGGACTCACCTTCATGCACTCATCCTGAGGAACTCACCTTCATACACTCATCCTGAGGGACTCACCTTCATGCACTCATCTTGAGGGACTCACCTTCATGCACTCATCTTGAGGGACTCACCTTCATGCACTTATCCAGAGGGACTCACCTTCGTACACTCATCCTGAGGGACTCACCTTCATGCTCTCATCCTGAGGGACTCACCTTCATACACTCATCTTGAGGGACTCACCTTCATGCACTCATCTTGAGGGACTCACCTTCATGCACATATCCTGAGGGACTCACCTTCATGCACTCATCTTGAGGGACTCACCTTCATGCACTCATCTTGAGTGACTCACCTTTATGCACTCATCCTGAGGGACTCACCTTCATGCACTCATCCTGAGGGACTCACCTTCATAAACTAACCTCGAGGTACTCACATTGATATATTCTCCTTGAGGGACTCGCCGTTCTGAAGATTACTTACATGTCTCCATAAGAACCAGACGCTTGAGAGGCAGTCTCTCTCTCTCTCTCTCTCTCTCTCTCTCTCTCTCTCTCTCTCTCTCTCTCTCTCTCTCTCTCTCTCTCTCTCTCTCTCTCTCTCTCTCTCTCTCTCTCTCTCTCTCTCTCTCTCTCTCTCTCTCTCTCTCTCTCTCTCTCTCTCTCTCTCTCTCTCTCTCTCTCTCTCTCTCTCTCTCTCTCTCTCTCTCTCTCTCTCTCTCTCTCTCTCTCTCTCTCTCTCTCTCTCTCTCTCTCTCTCTCTCTCTCTCTCTCTCTCTCGTTTTGGTCCGTCCTGGACCATTCTCAAGTCTAGTGTGTGGTTTGGTCAACATATCTCAGCCACGTTATTGTCACTCCTCGTCCGCTTACCTGTGGGTGTTCCACCAGGTGCACCATCGCCACGCAGGACATCAAGGAGGGCGAGGTGCTCTTCGTGGACCACCCCGTGGTGACCGGGCCCAAGCAGACCTCCGACGTCATGTGCCTCGCCTGCTACCGGCGCCTCGGCTCCTGGGACGACTACCAGTGCTCCAAGTGAGGCAAGGGACGGTAGGCGGATGGAACGGATGGATGGAACGGTTGGTGGATGAATGGAAGAGTGGTTATATGCATGGAACAGTGTGAAAGGAAGAGGGATTTAGTGGATCCGACAAAGCAAGGGAGGGGTCAAGGCCAGAAGGTATATTGTGTAAGACAAAAGTGGAAATTTTCAAGAGAAAACTTAGTTTTCTTCAAGAAGTCCAGGGCCAAACGGGGTATGTGGGCCTGCAACCCGCTCGAAGCAACAGCCTGTTGGACCAAGCTCTCATAAGTCAAGCCTGGCCCCAAGCCGGACTTGTGGGGAGTCGAAGAACTCCCTGAACCCTATCCAGGTACAATCCAGGTTAGCAGATAAGTTATGTAGGTAGCAAGGGCAGTGGGTGACTGTAGATAGGAAAGCATATAGTGAAAGATAAAGGAACTTGTGATAGATAAAGGAACTTACAGATACCCTTTGGGGCCAAGAGGCACAGGGTGGCTCACAGATAACACTTTGTATTGAAGTCTGTAGTCTCGCCACACTGTCAGTGTCATTCAGGCCCCCACGATGATTTTTGGCACTGGCGGCCAGCTACACAGCTTCATATTTTAAAAACAAGATTTTTAAAACACTTGTTTTTCTTGTAGTAATATACATAATTATTCATTGCTCTCGGGAAATTAAAAAAAAAATCCCGCTGTTAATAATTTGTCCGTACTTGCATAAAACAGACAATTTCTTCCACAGCTTCAAAGGTTTCTCAAGCTATGGCCCTTTATCGTAGGGGGTAACTTATTTTTTTTTTTTTTTAGTATTTCACACCACTAAGCTCCTCGTACTGGCGCGACCACCAACACACATTAGACAGTTATGATTCTTATAAGAGAGAGAGCCAGATAGACAGAGACCGAGACACAGGCCAGAGTAAAAGAGATAGACAGAAAGACAAAGACAGACAGTTGATAACACAAATCATATTGAAGGTCACTACTGTTTATGACACCATTATGTTGAAGCGAAATATTGAATTATATTATTGTTTTGTGTATGTCATTTATATATCATAAAGGCTGCTATTGGCGCACCCACGCCCCCCCCCCAACACGCCCCCCCCCCTCACCCTCACACGCCCTCCACACGCCACCCTCACCCCTACACGCCCCTCAAACGCCCTCCTCACCCCCACTTGCCCCCCACACCCTCACTACCGCCCTCCTCACCCTCACTACCGCCCCCCTCACCCTCACTACCGCACCCCTCACCCTCACTACCGCCCCCTGCTGCCTGCCACAGGTGCGGATGGCCGCTGTGCGGGCCGGAGTGCGAGACGCGAGGCTACCACCCGCTCGAGTGCAACGCCTTCGCCGCCTCAGGCTACACGCCCCGCCAGCAGGACTTCCAGGAGGCCCAGTATATGTACGAGGCCATGCTTCCCCTTAGGTAGGTCATGTCCCCTTGGGGAGCTTCTTCCCCCCTCCCCTCCCTTGGGTAGCTTCTGGTAGGTTATGCCCGGTAATGTTCCCTTGGGTAGCTTCTGCCTAGCCCTCCCACTAAATAGGTACTGCTCCCTTAGGTAGGTGATGTCCCTTTGAGTAGCTAATGGCCCCCCCCCCCTCCCCTAGGTAGATGTTGCGCACTTAGGTGATGCTCACTTAGGTAAGTGATGTTCTCTAAGATGATGTCCCCTTGGGTGAGTGTTGTCTCCTTAATAACTAAGTGAAGCCACCTTTAGGCGGGTGCTGTCCACTTAGGTAAAGTCTTTTGTAAATGTAATATAATTTGTGTATCTGTGTGTGTAATTACCTAAGTGTTGCAAGAGGATGAGAGCTACGCTGGTGGTGTCCCGTCTTCCCAGTACTCTTTCTCGTATAACACTTTGAAACAACTGAGTGTGTGTGTGTGTGTGTAGTAGCCCGTGGTAATGGATGTGTTGGTGCTGCTTTTATATTAACTGAGTTTGTGTGTACGTGTTTGTGTATGTTTTATATTTTGTGTGACAGTTATTTATGTGTTTGTGTGTGTGTCAATTACGTCACCTTCAGATGTTACTGCCTCGTTAACATCAATCACCTCACCTCCTCCAGATGTTACTGCCTCTCTAAGATGGAGCCGGACAAGTGGCAGACCCTCATCGCCATGGAGAGCCACAATGACCTCAGACGTGGCACTGAGCTCTGGGAGAGAGAACAGGTGAGAGTCCAGGAATATGTGAGAGTCCAGGAATATGTGAGAGTCCAGGAATATGTGAGAGTCCAGGAATATGTGAGAGTCCTCTGGTATGTGAGAGTCCAGGAATAGGTAAAATTATGCGAGTATGGTAGAGTTCTTGGGTATAATAGAGTCCTGGGAACGAGATTCCTGGGGAATGAGAATGAGAATTATTAATCTTACCCTTTCGATCATATTCAACAACATATGTTTACAAGAAAGACTGCTACCGAAATATACTAATATATATATATATATATATATATATATATATATATATATATATATATATATATATATATATATATATATATATGACAGTGGACAGTGTCAGACCACGGAGGAAAAATTGAAACAGGAATTTCCTTACGTTCTTTCATATATTAATATATCTTCAGAAGAAATGATTTCTGAAGATTCCTTCTGAAGATGTATTAATACACGAAAGTACTTAAGAAAATTCCTGTTTCAATTCTTCCTCCGTGGTTTGACACTGTCACATTTTTCATCACGTGTTAATTTTCGTGATTTACACACATATATATTGACTGCCGCAGACGAACGTGGTGGACTACCTGGTGCAGAAGGTGAAGGTGCCGGTGGAGGAGGAGGTCCTACACACCATCACAGGGATCCTCGACGTCAACTGTCACGAGGTCCGCAGCAACATTCCAGGTCAGCTCGCCCCAGACACCCCCAGTGTCGGGGGGGGGGGGGGTTTCAATATTACATTTTATTTATTTTTTGTAAGGAGATATGACAAGGTCACAAGCAGAGGATCATATAGTATAGTACCTATATCCTTCACCTGCTCCTCCACAGCAGGTGGAGGAGTTTGCACAGTACACAGCAGAGGGCAGAGTGTGCGCAATCCTCAGCTCAAGTGTTACAATGTGTTTATTTATAGGCCCTTCCAACTCACTTTCAGGGAAAAATACGCAGCAAAATACATTTTTGGAGCACATTAGTATTGGCCCCTGAGTGAGAGGAAAACCTTTTTTGATTGGCTAGGAAGTTTAAGCCTGGGTGAGGAAATCGGTATTCTGATTGACTATATGAAGTTGGAGCTTGGGTGAGGGAAGACGTATTCTGATGGACTAAGAAGTTTGAGTCAAGACCAAGGGAGGTAGATGCGTCGTGCTGAACGACTCATCGACCAAGATCTGGTCGCAGTCTCTGTTTATATTATTACTTTTTTTAGTGCTAAATAGTGTTTAAATATATATATTTCTCACATATAACTTGCTATGACTCCTTTATGACCCCGTAATGACGGGTCATGACCCCATAATGATCCGTGTATGAGCTGGTAACGAGCAGAGGGCCTGGTGACCGGCAGGTACGAGGGACCAGTACCTGGTGAGGGGGATCTACCCGCTGTGTGCCATGATGTCCCACTTCTGTGTCAACAACACCCACCATACCCTTATGGACGACATGACCATGGTCGTCATCGCTTCCACACCCATCAAGAAGGGCGAGCAGATGACAGGTGTGTGTGTGTGTGTAATTATCTAAGTGTAGTTTCAGTAGAGGGGGGAACCTGCTGCTTGGGTAACAGCTTCTCCTCCATATCAACCTACCCTGGCTTTGCGCCCTGGAGAAGCCACTCCAGACCAACAACCAGAGTGCAACTCCATAGTCTCCTGAGACTGATGGATGCCAACTACAGTTACAGGATGAGAGCTACGCTCGTGGTGTCCCGTCTTCCCAGTACTGTCATATAACGCTTTGAAACTACTGACGGTTTTGGCCTCCACCACCTTCTCACTTAACTTGTTCCAACCGTCTACCACTGTTTGCGAAAGAAAACTGTATAATATTTGTTGGGTGTGTTCGTGTAATTGTATGTTAGCATTGTTTACTGACGAGGAGCCTCTCATTACACTCCCCTCAGTCTACTGGTGTGTTGCTCATGTATCACACCAGCACCACACGTAACAACTGTCGTGTAGTACTGTGTGTATACATCAGATAATGATACCGTGAGTGGTGCTCACAGGGCGGCCGCCTGCTGGCCTCAGTGGTACAGCTCGAGAGCTCCAGTTATTAATATTCACCTGTGTCCAGCACTCTTGATCACCTTGCTCACCTTGAGCTAGTGACGTAATCTCATCTTTCTATCTCACTCTCACAAGCTTGACATCCCTCTATCAAGCTTGACATTTTTCTCTCAAGCTTAGCATTCCTCTATCGAGCTTGACTTTCGTCTATCAAGTTTAGCACTTCTCTATCAAGCAAATCGTAAATTCGTTTTTTTCATTGTCTTGTTGGAGTCGGTTCAAGTTCCCGCAGCCATTCAGTTCGCTGATATTCTAATGTTTGTACACCAGTCGAGAACTGCAGTATGTTATGGTACAAATTGTTCTCAGGTACTCACTCTTCATACACATATGCTATGGACTGCACTGTGTATACTGTATGGTATGGGTCCCCCCGTGTGTATACACAAGACGTAAACACGGGAACTGTTCCTCCCGACAGCCACATACACCCACATCCTGTCGGCGACGACGGAGCGGAGGAAGCACCTGAGGTATGGCAAGTTCTTCGACTGCGCATGTGCCAGGTGCGCAGATCCCACGGAGCTGGGGACGTACTTCGGGGCCCTGAGGTGCTCCCAGCCCGGGTGTGGCGGGAACATCCTCTCCACCGACCCGCTCGCTCCCGCCAACGACGCCCCCTGGGCCTGCGACAGGTGTCGCTACAAGGTCAGTCTTCCTTATCTTCCTACCAAACAGCTGACACTCACCAGGCGCAAAACGCCTCGTTTCTTGGTAAACCACGCTGTTAGGTCACTCATGTTGTTAGCTAACCATCAACACTTCCCTCCCATAAGACCTGGTGTCCCTGACGCTCCGCTTTATACAATTACTTCATTTCCATTGCGTCACACTGTAGCGCTAACTACTCTGTTTACTCTCTCGCCATTCACCTATTCACTGGGTGATTTTACTCATTCTCTGAAAACATTTACATCAAGGATTTAGATCACGATATTCATCACACTCACGATACAGTAATTAACCAACTCACATTCATCACACTCACGATACAGTAATTAACAAACTCACATTCATCACACTCACGATACAGTAATTAACAAACTCACACTCACCATACTGAGCTAAAGCTTGGGCAGAGTCATCACCCAGAGGTTAAGTTTGACCAGCTTCATCACCCAGAGCTTAAGCTTGGCCAGAGTCATCACCCAGAGCTTAAGCTTGGCCACAGTCATCACCCAGAGCTTAAGCTTGGCCAGAGTCATCACCCAGAGCTTAAGCTTGGCCACAGTCATCACCCAGAGCTTAAGCTTGGCCAGAGTCATCACCCAGAGCTTAAGCTTGGCCACAGTCATCACCCAGAGCTTAAGCTTGGCCAGAGTCATCACCCAGAGCTTAAGCTTGGCCACAGTCATCTCGCACTTACAACACATACTAAAACCATTTTTTTTTTGCATAATGTTTATTTGGTACACAAAATATATATTGCCTCCAGTGAGATTGACCCGAGATGAGCGACCTCACAGGCCAGGAGACATCTTTATCACCCTTAAGTGTCCAAACCCCCCCCCCTCGCCCCTTTCCACCCCCTTGCCCCTTTTCCACTCCCCTCGCCCCTAGAGGTTGGGGACACTTAATTCGATAACAAATCCCGAGTCGACTGCCGTATTATTTCCGCCTCTCGCAACATTCTCACAAATTATTTGTGCAGTTTCCGTGCCTGCCAGCCGTATAGCCGGAGACACTGTTGAATAATGGTACTTTCATTTCATTCATTCGTAGCATAAATTCTCATTTTCAGTGGACCATTCATACCTTAGACGAGGTGCCGAAATAACCATAAACGAGAAAGGTGTTAATAGTGACTGCCTTACAAGGCTCAACAGACCTTCTATAGTTTCAAATGTTCTCATGTTTCGTAAATTAACATGAGTCATGACGTTCACGTCTCTTCTAATTATTGTATAATTGGACTTTAGATTATGCGTCCGAATGACCAAATTAACTCATGTTATCACACATTTTGACTTTCAAGATGGCTACGACTTCGAGGAAAGTAAGGAAGAAAGGAACTATCAGGGGAAAGCGCCAAGCCATTACGACTATATAGCACTTGGAAGGGGTCAGGATAAGGATTTGGGATGGGATGGGGGTGGAATGAAATGGTGCCCAACCACTTGGACGGTCGGGGGATTGAACGCCGACCTGCATGAAGCGAGAGTAATATAATTTACTACAGAGTCTCCGTCAGAGTAAGACTGTGACGCCTGTTGTAGGTGTCGGCGGTGACGGTGGAGAGGCTCAACAAGATGGTGTACATGGAGCTGCGTCAGGCCGGTGAAGACGACCCCATCAAGCTGGAGACTATCTTCAAGAAGTACCAGTACGTCTTACACCCTCAGCACTTCCACCTGGTGGGCATGAAGCACTCCCTCTCCCAGGTAAGCCGGCCGCGAGGGAGAGCCCCGGGGAGGCCAGACGTAGAAAGATAAGGTGAGGAGAGTAGGTGTGGGGAGGGGGGGAAAGACAGGGGAGGTGACAGCAGGGTAGGTAACTTCAGGCCAAACTCGACAAAGAATTCAAAGAGGATAGTTACATTATAACGCAACAGATACAAGGCTAGTAGGCCGGGCACAAAGACCTAGTTCTCCCTTACCCCCGCCCCCCCCCCCTTAATCACTAATAGGAACGTACTGCCCGTCCACGTGCAGAGCGTGCAGTTACCCCTCATAAATAAATATCAGTTTTCTTTTAACTTGAGCTTCCTGGCGAGCTACACCGTTTAATTGAAAAACAAAAAAACGAGTTCCACAATTTTCATACTCTGTATTTATATTTATTAATACATTTTATATTTTTTTCTATAATTCCGTGTTGTGGCTGAAGTGTGTATATATGTGTGTTGCTGCAGATGTACGGTCGCTTGCCTGGCTACCTTCTGCCGGAGCTGACGGAGGCGCACCTCGTGCGTAAGGTGGCCTGCTGCCGGGACCTCCTCCAGGTGCTTGATGTCCTCGATCCAGGCATCACTAGGCTCAGAGGTACGTGTGTGTGCGCGCTCAAGGGAAAGGGGAAATACAAATTCAGTATTCTGTCATTTTACTGCTGGAGGGCTGGTCATCGACTGGTGGTCCTTCTAGCATCATGTTCTTACCCCGGGCTTAGAGAGAACACTTGTTTACGGCATCGGAGGTCATAAGGGCCCCCTCATAAGTCTTAACTTTAATAAGCAAATGGTACTGCATACTTCATAGTACTTGGAGGGACTCGGGCCGCCTCAGTTTGTGCACTAGTGAATACAAGAGTGGGAGGTTACCTTGAGGTGCTTCCGGGGCTTAGCGTCCCCGCGGCCCGGTCGTCGACCAGGCCTCCTGGTTGCTGGACTGATCAACCAGGCTGTTGGACGCGGCTGCTCGCAGCCTGACGTATGAGTCACAGCCTGGTTGATCAGCTATAGATGAATGAGACCAGATGAATGTTTTTGAGAGTTAGAAGTCGAGCAGTCCACCGTGCCTGTGTGGGATGAGGGTCGGCTGCTCTGAGCTGTGAGGTGTAGTGTTAGGCGTGAGGGTGTGCTGTGAGGTGTAGTGGGAGGTGTGAGGGTGCTGTGAGGTGTAGTGGGAGGTGTGAGTGTGCTGTGAGGTGTAGTGGGAGTCGTGAGTGTGTGCTGTGAGGTATAGTGGGAGGTGTGAGGGTGCTATGAGGTGTAGTGGGAGGTGTGAGCGTGCTGTGAGGTGTAGTGGGAGGTGTGAGGGTGCTGTGAGGTGTAGTGGGAGGCGTGAGCGTGCTGTGAGGTGTAGTGGGAGGCGTGAGGGTGCTGTGAGGTGTAGTGGGAGGCGTGAGGGTGCTGTGAGGTGTAGTGGGAGGTGTGAGGGTGCTGTGAGGTGTAGTGGGAGTCGTGAGCGTGCTGTGACTGTGCTGACCTAGGCAGTCACACTTGAATTCTTGGCACTCTACGTGAGGCACTGGTATTAGCCCCACACATGAGAATTTAACTGAATAAAAGGTAATAAATCTACACTAACCTATTTTAGGGGCGTTGCCCCCCAGCTAAATAGTGTTATTTGCTTAAGTACCCACTTTGGACTATCGCTATTACTTAACTGGTTAGTTTTTTTTGAAGGAGTTGGAACCTTCTTACCTCGTGGAATTTCAATGTTTTAAGTTGTAATCCACATGAATTGCGCATTATTTAGCATTAACTTACGTACAAAAAGATCATAAAGTTTCTGGATGAATCATTACTAATTCGATCCTAAATGCGGTCAAGGAGCCTAGTTTTTTTTTAATTTAAAATTTGGCCCCGAGGGGCGAGTTTATTGGGCAGCGTCACTCATCCTGTGAGTGAACACACCGCCATAGCAGCATGTACAACACTCCCAATAGGAAGAAAACCCGCTGGGTGGTTCATCCTAGGAGCCTAGTGTGTCTACGCGACCCGTCCTCCTGAGGTGATAGTACTTCTTATAATTGTTACGCTCAAAGTACCAATATGACGTGATGGACCAGCATATAGATTTCTGTACTATTATGTATGTACGCTTTCCCGTCTTAGAAAAGTATCAAGATACGTGTCTAGATATAAGTTGCTACTTGCATGAGTCTAAGTAATAGACAGACCCTAGATTTAAAATCTCAGCGAGGTTTTATATATTTCCCTTCATATATTTTGTAGCATTCCGTAAAACTTTTCACAGTTTGCACCGACACAGCACTCATAACACCCACAGCACGTCCACAAGACCCTCGCCACACCCACAACTCTCCCATAACACCCACACCACCACAAAGCACTCACAACACCTCTACAAGACGACACCGGCACTAAGCCCCCGCCAACGTGACGCAGGTCTGACGCTGTACGAGCTCCACGCGCCGCTCCTGATGCAGGCCAACAGAGCCTTCCAGAACAAGGCCATCACCAAGAGCGACTTCCAGCAGCAGCTGCACGAGGTCGAGGGTTACCTGGATAGGACCGTCTATTGCCTCAAGCACGAGCCTCTCTCCTCTTTCGAGGGCGAGATTTGCAAGGTAGGTGGAGGAGGAAGTGTGAGTGTGTTGGTGTACACAGCTAGGTGTGCTTGTGGGGGTTGAGCTTTGGCTCCATGGTCCCGCCCCTCTACTGTCAATTTACTGATTTGATGAAAACAAATAGGTGGTCTCTTGCCTTGACTGGTGTTGTCCCCTTTCAACAATCTGTCATGGTCAAGCAGATACCGTACTGGTTATGTTAGTACGTTATCGTACTAATATAATAGTTATATAACCGTACTAATTATATATACTGTACAATATACATACATACAAACATATATATATATATATATATATATATATATATATATATATATATATATATATATATATATATATATATATATATATATATATATATATATATATATATATATATATATATATATATATATATATATAATATATATATATATATATATATATGAAATAATGCAAAATTAAAAATGAACTAACAATAGGCCTATTATGACTAAGGTTATCATTTTATAGCTGATTAAAAATGGGGCACCGAACATCAGGATTGATTTAAAATCTTATTCCTTTTAATTTTTGTATTGAAATCTGAAATTCTAAATTTGTAATTATTTCAAAATGTGAATTAATTGTTAAATATAAATTTAAAATCTGATTTTTTATTTTAATTATTTCATAATCATAATTTTTTATTTTAATTATTTCATAATCTTAATTTTTTATTAATTATTTCATAATCTTATTTTTTAATTTAATTATTTCATTATCCTAATTTTTCATAATCTTACATTTTTTAAATGTAATTATTAAAAATTTTGATTTTAATTTAATTATTTTAATATCAGCAATTTTTTAATTTAGTTATTTCAAATTCAGTTATTTTTTATTTTTTAAATAATTATATCAAAATCTGAGATTTTAAAATAAAATTTATTTCAGTAACATTTTTAACCATTATTTTGTAATTGAGGAGTGTGACTTTTCTTCAAATTTGAATATCTCAGAAATATATTATAGAGTATTCTCCCACTGGGACGCTGTTCTTTAGTGGACTTCTGAAAGGCTTAGACACTGACCTTCCCCTTTCAGATCGCCAGGAACTCCCTGCAGGAGCTGCGGAAGTGGATCCAGACGGTGGAGACGCTGCAGGAGTCGCACTTCCTGCCGGAGAAGCAGGAGGTGGTGCTGGGCCAGCTCAGCGAGGAGGACCTCACACTTGAGACACTCCTCAAGAAGTTGGAAGAACAGTAGCAGATCCGTAGATAGATGAAGCCTCGCGCCCACACACACACACACAAGATAATCATCCTTTTCATACACCTCTAATACGAGTCCTGTCTGCCCATGTACGAGGTTTGTCTTCTCGTGGATTTCAGATACGACCCCCAGTCCATTCATCCCAATTCACCGATTATTGTTGTTGATTCTTGTAAAGCCTCTCTCTTTTTTCTTTATGTTTGGCTTAAGGCCTATCAACTTGTGGAGAGCCATTAAGGGCTCCACAACAGTTATACCTGACTAACTATCAGGTATACTTTAGTCCTGAACAGTGTCCAAGACTAAGGTAAACTCTGGGTGTATGTACACCGTGAAGTGGTATACAGTTCTACACTGTTTATATTCCTGTGTTAACGAGTACTCTAGCAAATTTCCTGTATCTTGAATTATTTCAGCATTTTGATTCAATTTATTTTTTAAACATAAGAGCTTGGCATTAAACTGTTTTGGTACGACTGGAAATTATTTATACTAAAACAATTATTTGTAAATTTATAATTTTGTTGTTGATATGTTGGAGGTAAGTCGTGGTGCCCAGGTGGGTGGTGGGGGGGAAGGTTTGTACTTCTTGACGCGAAATAATCTAACATAATCATAATCTTATTTGTCTTATGCAACAAATATGCAGTGCTGTGCTGTTACGGTTCTCATGGGCGATTATGGCATGTCGTCTGTAACGGGTTCCTCGCTGTGCTGGGGAACCTTGCTGTACTGCGTAATCTTTCAATGTTTGGGTGCTGAACCATGTTGTAATGTTTTGTTTAAAGAAGCCTAATATTTCTTGCCAAGCGTTTCACCCGACATATTCCACATTTTTGTGTTGATTATATGTTTCCTTCCGAAGTAATTTTATCTAATGTGTTTTATGTTTGTTTCTGAAGTGTTAAGTTGTGTCTTACATAAGCTGAAGGTGTACTGGTTTTGTAAATCAGATTTTTGGTGCTACAACAACTGCTGATATGAGATAAAGCTTGAAACATAACCGATTTGTTTTTAAGTTAAAGGAATTTTAGATAATCTTCATTATTATTGTAAGAGTACCAACCTTTGTGCTTTATTTTTTACATTAAAGTTTTAACACATTTTATTGGTTTTCTCTTTCATGAATACAGTAAGTCCTTCAACTTGCCTTAAAATGGTGTTCATTACCCAACAAGTGTAACCCAGGAGAGATCTCGTTTTTTGCATCTTTGCTCCGAGGCTTCTTTACTGCCCTTTTTCTTCAAGGATTCGAATTTGGGTCCCGGTGGTGGCCATTCAATATACAATATACCGTATCCAGCACACCACGGAATTCCGACAGAAGTATTGATAGGCCTTGAGGTTCGAAAATCATCCATTAACTCCCCCAGATTCTTTAAAGTGTCTATAATTTCTTGCATAATGACATTGTCACTCAAAAGCCTTGCCGTCAGATCTTGTTCCAATTTGGCCTTCATACTATTGAAGTGTGAAATATTTATTACCGCCCGTCATAATAATTTCAGGCAGTGGAATAGGGTTTAAGGCCTGAGGTAAATATGGTAGCCTTTCACGTCATCGCTACTCTGTAAACAAACCCAACCCAGCCTAATCAAACCTGACCTAACCAAGCCTAACCTAATTAGCACAACCTAACCTGTGTTAGACATGCCTTAGTGGGGTAGAAATAGCCTAAGCTATTCTATCCCTTTGAGATGTATTTCTTTCTTGTCTCAATAAACATGAACTTGAACTTGACCTGACCAAACCTAAATTAACCTGACGATAAGGATAAAATTGTGTTTTGTATATGGTAGGTTTTGTAGGTGGTGTGACGTCTCAGTGTTCATGCCGGTACAGATCCTACAGAAGCCGGGTCCATTGCTCTTGGCCGCTGCAGTCACCATTCAGATTTGTAAACATATGCAACAGAAAATTGTAAATAGAAAAAGCAGTGAAATGGCGGAGGAGAATGGTAGAGAAGATGTACGGTTCTTTACGTGTTCGCCACTTTCTGAGATTCCAAGAAGTGATAAAATGATGAATTTTAACTTTTCTATTTTCCATCTAGTCTTTGTATTTTTCTCCCGTTTACGTTCACAATTACTTCGTGGTCTGTCAGGTACTTCCATTCAGGCATCGACACATTCTTTACACTACATTGTTCGTCTTGCAAAAGTGACTGTTATCTTCACCTAAGACATCACTGCTCCCTCCTGCTGGTGGCCACGGCGAGCCCTCACCAGGGTACTTGAAGGAAGGAAGAAATTATCAAGGAAAAGCGCCAAGCCAATTACTACTATATAGCACTTGGAAGGGATCAGGATAAGGATTTGGGATGGGACGGGGAGGGAGGAAGGAATTGTACCCAACCACTTGGACGGTCGGGGATTGAACGCCGATCTGCATGAAGCGAGACCGTCGCTCTACCGTTGAGCCCAAGTGGCTTGGCAAGGTACTTGAAGGGGAGTCCTTAGTGCCCCCTGCGTTGTGGTCCAGCTGGGGGCGTCGTCGTCGTCCAGGATGCCAGAGTAATGCGTGCAGGATACTCCAGACACGGAGGAATGTTGATCCTGCCGCGCCTAACCCATCACTGTGCGGGACTCCCTCGACTCATGAGGCCGGACGGTCGCCCAATTAGAACCTTAGCGAAAGAGGTTTTTGCGACATAAGTCCTTTGAGACCGACTGCACTCCTGCAGGATAGCGTTTTTCCTCTGGTTTCCTCTGATATGCTGGGATTTTGGCCTCTAAGGACAGATAAAGCTAGGGTTTGTTTACCTTGGCAGAAACGTTACCATGACACCGGTTCCCCATAGTCAATGATCAAGACAAAGGTAGAGCCTGGCGTACGATGACCGACCTCCGACGGTACCTCTCTCAAAAAAACTTGAATAAACAATTAATATTTTAACAGCTTATAAAAATAATGAGTGAGGAAATTTTGTGTTTCTTTAGACCGTGTAAAGCTACTAGAAAAAAAAGATATGAGTAAAATAGAGGTGGCAGATTGTGAGTACGAGAGTTTTCCACGGTCACCTGGAGAGCATAGTGATGGGCGGTTCAGTGCGCCCCGTGAGCTTGGCGTGTCTGCCGGCTGGGTAACGGAGGGCTCCAGTGTGCGTGTGTGTGTGCATGTGTGAGTGACTTGTGTCGCGTCCTGCTAAACACTCGATGGATAATACAGAAAACTATAACGATTGGAGGTTTAAGGCGTGTTCAGAGTGCCGGTACTGGACGTACTGACTAAGCGAGAAGGTTAGTTTGTTTGTAGTTTATTTGAAAAGCGAGATACGTGCGTGTGCGTGCACACACACAGTGGAGACAGACCTCGTGCACAGTTTCCAGTGTAGATATAATAGGCTCAGGAACCTGTACACCAGATGATTGACAGTTGAAAGGCGGGACCATAGAGCTGAAGCTCAACTCCCGCAAGCACAGCTAAATGAGTATTTGCACCTCAGGTGCAAATGTGGGGCCCCATAGCCTCGGAGAAGAAAATAAGGAGTACTCAGAGAAGACCTTGTGGATTCTCACTAAACTCTTTAATATTTTCTTCCCCTACCACCCACATTCTTTTGTATGTACACATATATATTTTTTTTATTTAAACTTTGTTACAAAAAAGGAGTTACATATAGGGTACAAATATGATTATCATAAGTTGTCGAGTTCCTCCAGCTCCTCATATGGCGGGCAGGAATCCTGAATGTAGTGTGCATTTCTCCTCTGTATCGTCACACTGAGGCGCTGGGAAAGGAAGCTGTAGGGTCTCTTCTTGTTTCAATTAGCCTAGAACCCAGTTCCTTCAAAAAACTGGTGGCACTCTTACCCCAGGCGCCGAGTGTCTCAGAAGCAATGGGAACAAAATGGGTGGGTGATCCAGTTCTCTGTATTTACGGGAATATACAGTATATATATATATATATATATATATATATATATATATATATATATATATATATATATATATATATATATATATATATATGTCGTACCTAGTAGCCAGAACTCACTTCTCAGCCTACTATGCAAGGCCCGATTTGCCTAATAAGCCAAGTTTTCATGAATTAATTGTTTTTCGACTACCTAACCTACCTAACCTAACCTAACCTAACTTTTTCGGCTACCTAACCTAACCTAACCTAACCTATAAAGATAGGTTAGGTTAGGTTAGGTAGGGTTGGTTAGGTTCGGTCACATATCTACGTTAATTTTAACTCGAATAAAAAAAAATTGGCCTCATACATAATGAAATCGGCAGCTTTATCATTTCATAAGAAAAAATTAGAGAAAATATATTAATTCAGGAAAACTTGGCTTATTAGGCAAATCGGGCCTTGCATAGTAGGCTGAGAAGTGATTTCTGGCTACTAGGTACGACATATATATATATATATATATATATATATATATATATATATATATATATATATATATATATATGTAGTATCCAAGGGAGCCTTGTGTTCCGAGGCATATATAATATATATGCCGGGCATATATATATATAATATATAATATATATGCCCGCCATCTGAGGAGCTGGAGGAACTCGACAAACTGTGACAACTAGCCTTGTACCTTGCATATAACCAGTGTTGTAACCCTTTTTGTGTTACAAATCCCATACGTTAAGGAAGAATCATCACTAACAACAATTGACCTGGGAACTATGGAGCGTTTCTATATGAGGGAGCTGCGGCCGCTCTTAAAAATAGAACATAAGCTATCCAATTGTATACTATGTAACATTTCACAAGTGTTTGTCCCACACACGTTTTGTTTGCGCGTCATTATATTCTTTTAATCGTTTAGTTTACCATGATTTGTGTTTTTGGGGTTCTTTCATTAAGTAGGATGGGCCTTATCGTTGTCTGTATTATAACAATTGGGGGTGTCTGTTATTATATAATATTTGTGTTTCTTTATAATGTGTGAAATGGGTAATTCGATATTAATTGATTAAATTTGGTCTTGCATAGAATCTTTGAATCTTTAAGGATCTTAATTTGATTTTGATTTAGTCCTTATTGTCAATGTTGAATGTTATTAAATCGTACTTTGTTTCATCATAACGTAAGTTGTCTTTGGTATTTTTTTCCTTTTCGTGCTTTCATTTTTAATAACTAATGTCATTTTCGTCTCTTAAGAATGTAATCATGTTTTTAGTATAAGTTCTTTGTTAGGGCACGTGGTGTCCCGTCTTCCCAGCAGTTTGTAATAGGACGCTGTAAAACTATTGATGGTAATGGCATCTACCACCTTCATCACTGTGTGTGTGTGTGTGTGTGTGTGTGTGTGTGTGTGTGTGTGTGTGTGTGTACTCACCTAGTTGTGCTTGCGGGGCTTGAGCTTTGTCTCTTTGGTCCCGCCTTTCAACCGTCAATCAACTGATGTATAGATTCCTGAGCCTACTGGCCTCTTATCATATATAATTTTGAAACTGTGTATGGAGTCAATCTCCACCACATCACTGCCTAATGCATTCCATCTGTTAACAACTCTGACACTGAAAAAGTTCTTTCTAACGTCCCTGTGGCTCATTTAGGTACTCAGTCTCCCCCTGCGTTCTCTTGTTCGCGTACCACCCGCCGTGTTAAACAGTTTATCTACCCTGATAAATCTACCCTGTCCATTTCTCTGAGAATTTTGTAGGTAGGGATCATGTCTCCTCTTACTCTTGTGTCTTCCAGTGTCGTGAGGTGCATTTCACACAGCCTTTCCTCATAACTCATTCATCTTAGTTCTGGGTCTAGCTTAGTGGCATACCTCTGAACTTTATCCAGCTCCGTCTTGTGCTTGACAAGGTGCGGGCTCTATGCTGGGGCCGCATACTCCAGGATTGGTCTTACATATGTGGTGTACAAGGTTCTGACTGATTCCTTACACAGGTTCCTGAAGGCTGTTCTGATGTTACCTAGCCTCGCGTATGCCGCATAGGTAATTCTTTTTATGTGGGCTTCAGGAGACGGGGTTGGTGTGATATCAACTCCCAGATCGTTCTTTCTGTCCGTTTCACGAAGGACTTCATCTCCCATTCTGTATCCTGTGTCTGGCCTCCTGTTTTCACAACCTAGTTTCATTACCTTACATTTACTCGGGTTGAACTTTAGGAGCCATTT